GGGCCCCGCGGGCTCGGGCCCCGGCTGCGGGCTCGGGCTCGGGCTGGGGCTGGGCCCCGGCTGCGGCAGCCCCGGGCGCGACGAGGCGGGCGGCGGCTACAACAGCGAGGATGAGTACGAGGCGGGCAGGGTGGAGATGGACCCCGCCACGGCCGAGCAGGTGCGGGGCAGCGCGGGGGAACGGGGACACCGGGGACAGCGAGGGACACTGAGGGACTCTGGGGACAGCGGGGACATCAAGGGACAGCAGGGGACACTGAGGGACACCGGGGACAGCGGAGACACTGAGGGACAGCGGGGGACAGCGGGGACACTGAGGGACAGTGGGGACACTGAGGGACAGCGGGGGACACTGAGGGACTCCGGGGACAGTGGGGACACTGAGGGACAGCGAGGGACACCGAGGGACACCAGGAGACAGCGGGGACACTGAGGGACTCCGGGGACATCAAGGGACACCAGGGGACACTGAGGGACACCGGGGGACACTGAGAGACAGTGGGGGACATCAAGGGACACCGGGGGACAGTGGGGACACTGAGGGACACCAGGGGACACTGAGGGACACCAGGAGACACTGAGGGACAGCAGGGAACAACGGGGGACAGTGGGGGACAGTGGAGGAGACAGCGAGGGGACACCGGGGAGACGTTGAGGGGCACCAAGGGACGCCGGGGAGGGTGGGCATCTGGGGACACTGAGGGGTAGCATGGGGACACCGGGGACAGCGGGGACACGACACCAGGGACACTGAGGGACAGCGGGGACACTGGGGGACAGCGGGGGACACCAGGGACACTGAGGGACAGTGGGGACATCAAGGGACACCGGGGGACACTGAGGGACTCTGGGGAACAACGGGGGACAGTGGAGGAGACAGCGAGGGGACACTGGGGAGATGTTGAGGGGCACCGAGGGACGCCGGGGAGGGTGGGCATCTGGGGACACTGAGGGGTAGCATGGGGACACCGGGGACACTGAGGGACAGCAGGGACAGCATGGGGGCATCCGGGGACACCGGGGGGACAGCAGGGGGACATTGAGGGACACCAGGGGAGACCTTGGGGGCATCTGGGAACACTGAGAGGCACCGGGGGGACAGCGTGGGGACATTGAGGGACAGCGGGGGGAGGTCTGGGTGCATTTTGGGACCATTTGGGTTCATCCTGGGTTCATTTTGGGCCCATTTGGGTTCATCCTGGGTGCAGCCCTGGCTGGGTTCTGGTGCTGCCCAAGGTGGATCTATCAAAGCCTCTTAATAAATCCCTAATTTATTCTTTAACTCTGTCCAGTCTCTGTTCCAGCTCAGCCTTCCCAAAGCATCACCAGGCTGCAAAGACCCTGAGTGTGCCACGAGCCTCCTCCACTGCTTCCTAGGGGAACTGAGGAGGGAAAATCCAGCTGAAAGCCTTCTCCTCCCTACCTGTGACCTTCACATCTGCCCTCAGCACCAGACTGAGGCAGCAGCTCCGGAGAGCCCTGCAGGAGTTGGGCATTCCCTAGGGAATGATGGATGTCTCCACCACGAGGAGATTTGTGTGTCTTCACCAGCAGAATTCCCAACTCTGAAACCCTGCTGAGGTGGCTGAGGGATTCCTCCTGGGATAAAGGGCATTGTACTGTCAAGATACATGGAATTAGGGAATGGTTTGGGTCGGGAGGGAATTTAAATCAGCCCATCCCATCCCTGACACCTTCCACTACCCCAGGCTGCTCCAAGCCCCATCCAGCCCGACCTTGGACACTTCCAGGGAGCTGCCACAGCTTCCCTGAGCATCCACAACTCCTCTGTTCCTACAAAACTCAGCCAGGGGCCTCTTACAGATTCAGTGGAATCTCACCATCCCACAAAACTCCCCTCAGGATTTTCCTAAGCCAGCAGCACCCTCCACACACACCCAGCTTGGCAGCCCCAGCACAGCCCAACCCCAGCAGGGATTAAAGCCCTCCCAGGAAAACTTCCTTTAACCTGGAATGCTTCCGAGCGGGATCTGTCAGTGCCAAGCTCCCCCTCTTCCAGGAGTGCTGCCTCCTTCCCAAGCATCTCCTTTGCTGGAGTTTGTGTTTTTCCAAGGGCTCTTCAGTGGGATGTTCCAGGAAAATCCTGCCAGCACCCAAGCTGGAGAGAAGTGAATCATAAAATCTCACGTTAAAACCCCTCATATTTTAAACAATGTTGATGAGTTTTAAGCTTGTGCTTCCAGGCTGTAAGTTGAAAATAGCTGGGGAGGATTGTCTCAAAATTGCAGCTTTCCAGAAGCTGAAAGGAACCTAAAAGTGGGGGGGGGGGGGGGACGGCCGGGGGGGCCAGGGGAACAAAGTGAGCACTGGGGGTGACAGGGAGGGACACCAGGGGACGTCCGGGGACACTGAGGTACAGCGGGGGGGCATTGAGGGACAGAGGGGGGTCACTGGGACATCTGGGGACACTGGGCAGGACCTGGGGAACAGCCAGGGGGGACCAGGGGACACTGAGGGGACACCGGGAGGAAACTGGGGGACATCAGGTGTCATCTGGGGACATTGGGGGATACCAGGGGACATTGGGGACAGGGGGGAAACACTGAGGGGACATCAAGAGACACGGTGGGGACACCAGGGGGTCAGGAGGGACATCAAGGGACACTGGGGGGACATCAGGGGACACTGGGGGACACAGGGGGACAGGAAGGGACATCGGGGGACACTGAGGAACATCAAGGGGACACTGGGGGTCACCGGGGGGTCAGGAGGGACCTGCTGGGGTTGGCTGTCCCCGCGTTGTCACGCTCTTGTCCCCCACCCAGTGCAGGGCTGTCGTTGTCCCCTTTTTGCTGCTGTTTGTCCCCAAATTGTCACCGCTGTGTCTCCCCCCTCCCCCCCTTTGGGACCCCCCCTTGTCCCCCAATTCGATGGACTGGGGGGGATTGGGGGGAACTGGGAGAGGATTGGGAGGGACTGGGAATGCACTGGGGGGCACTGAGAGGGACTGGGATGGATTGGGAGGGACTGGGAGGGTGCTCAGAACGCTGGGGGCACCAGGCTGCTGTTCCCTCCCCTCTACCCCAGAGTCCCCAGGGCTCTCCCATTCCTGTCCCCCGTGTCTCAGTGGTGCTGTGTCTGTCCCTGCTGCGTCCCCAGCCTGTCCCCAGCCTGTCCCCAGCCTGTCCCCAGCCTGTCCCC